ACATCCTAGGGAACCAGGACACAAAGAGCCTCAACACACCTTCTTCACATGCACTTATTTTAAATTATCCATATCATGAAGGATGGATTTATCAGAACTCCGTTCCTTCGGCCCCAAATCAGGAAGCACAGTTAAATCTATGGTGTTATCCAATAACTCTGTTCAATCCAATTTAGCAAACACTGAGTGCCTAATATTTGCCTGTGATGCCTACTTCCTTGAGAGTGGCAATAGAAGTAAGTAGGGATCAGACACAATCCCCAGCTTCAAGGCACGCACACCTTAGTAGAAGTGACACTTGTCCAACCATAATTTGATAAATGTTATATATTTCCATTTGAACCAAGTAACACCAATGCGGACAGGCAGGAATGATATCGTACGGGATTTCAAGGGAGAGATTATTGAAGAAGTGACATTTGATCAGAGCCTTGAAGGACGAGTTGGGATTTTGCTAGGAGGAGAAGGAGAATGGTACATTTTTTAAAGTATAAAAAATGATGCATTTTAGGGACATAGGATGCACGTGTGTGTGTGAGAGTGTGTGTGTGTGTGTATGAGTGTACGAGTGTACAAGCTGGGAAGAGGTAGGGACTGGCTGAAGATTATTTCCTTTCTTTCTCTCCCTTTCCACAACTTTCCCTGCTCCAAAACCTCCTTATAACCATGTCCAGAAATCTGAAGAAATAAAATGCAGCTAAATAGAGAACAGCTGGAAAGTGGAAGCATCCCATGTTGTCTGTCAGGAGCCAGACTGCCTGGGTGCAAATCCCAGATCTGCTGTTCTAGCCGTGAGAGCCGGAGCAAGACACTTAACCTCTCCATGCCTGGGTTTCTTCATCTGGAAAATGCTACTACTTTACTATGTTAAAAGTAGTACCATCTCGTGCGGTTGTTGTGAGCATTGAATTTAAAGCACTTGCCTGGCTCACAGTAAACACTCTGTGTCCGTTATGGTTATTAGCGTTATTTGCGATGTCTGCACAAGTGAAGTGGGGTGTCCTAAAGGGAATCAAATGAAGTCCAGCTCCTCTTTGGGACAGAAAATGGCTTAAGCAGAAAAGCCTTGTCCAGCACCATAGCCACTGGCTACTGAGAACCTGAGGACGTGGTGAAGAAGGTGCCCCTTGCAGACTCAGGAGACAGTGTCTCAGGAGGGGCCCCTCCGTGGAGCGCCAGCCTCTCAAGGCTGAGAGGCTTCACCAAGGATGGCCAGTCAGAGAAAGGGAATCTTTCAGCTCCTATTTGTCAGTAGTTTTCTTTCATGATTGATATTTTAAGTTCTTCCAAGAGGAGAGCTATGCTTGCTCACAAAAGAGTAAAACAAATATAATGAGCTTTCAATGCAATGACAAGGTTTTGAACAACATGCAAGAATGTTAGTGGGAAGAATGTTTTGCTTTCATCCTACACAGAGAGCCAACAAAAAAACCACTCAAAGCCTTCCTCTCTGTTGTGTCAACAATAGGCAAGTTTTTGTTTTCTTTTTTTTCAGATCTTCTAGTGAAGTATCATATGCACATTAAAAAGTGTGTATCACATATAAATGTAGAACTCTGATGAATTTTTGTAGACTGCATACACGCAGGTAACCAGCACCTAAATCAAGAAACCAAACAATTTCAGAACCCAGGATGTCTCCTTAATCCCCCCTGCCCCGCTCCGAGGGGATCACTCTCCTGACTTCTAGCAGCATTAATTAGTCTTTTCTGGTTTTGTACTTTACATAAAAGCAATCATTATACTCTTTTGTGTCTGGCTCTTTTCACTCGACATTACACATGCAAGATTCAACCACATTGCTGTGAATGGCCAACTTCTTGAACGTAATTTTTGTAATGGAGGAGAGGAAAGCACATTCGTCAAGAAGTTTTAGGCGAGAAGCAGCCTGGGAGCCGGCCTGCAACCTGTTGGGGAGGCTCTTGTAGCCGCAGCCGCCAGAGCCTCCGCGGCCACAGACACCTCCGGAGGGATCCAGTTGGGGAGGAAGCGGAGGTGTCGCCGGCCCCGGCCTGTGCCTGGACACTCAAGGGGGACTACAGGTTATGGGTGCTACATGTGTGCTTTCAGAGCAGCAATGTGAGGAAGCTTGAAGTGGGATGGCAGGATGGCCTCATCCTTTTGACAGTAACTCCAGTGATCCAGAGAACTGGGATTGGAAATTGAATAGTAGACATCGTAAACTTTATAAACATTCAAGTACTTCCCCACGTGTTGCCAAAGGAGTTGTTGCCCACACCAAAATGAGTCTACATGGTGACTTGATCTCTCTCAACGAGAGATCAAGAGATAGACGAAGGTCAAGTGACAGATCCCAAGATTCATCTCACGAAAGTACAGAATCTCAGCTCATTCCTCGTATTAGAAATGTTACTTCAACACGACAGCACCATGTTGAACGTGAAAAAGATCACAGTTCCTCTCGTCCAAGCAGTCCTCATCCTCAAAAAGCATCTCCAAATGGTTCCAGGAGCAGTGCTGGGAACAGCAGCAGAAACAGTGGTCAGTCAAGTTCAGATGGTAGCTGTAAGATATCTGGGGAAATGGTGTTTGTGTGTGAAAATGCAAAAGAAGGAGGTCGGAATGTAAGAACGTCAGAACGAGTGACACTAATAGTGGATAACGCTAAATTTGTTGTAGACCCATCCATTTTTACTGCTCAGCCATACGCAGTGCTGGGCAGGATGTTTGGGGCTGGCAGAGAACATAACTCTACATGTCCCAGCGAGAAGGGAGAGTATGAGGTGGCAGAGGGGATTGGCTCTACTGTGTTTCGAGCTATTCTGGATTACTATAAAACAGGAATAATCCATTGTCCCGATGGCATATCTATTCCTGAACTGAGAGAACCATGCGACTCTCTTTGTATCTCTTTTGAATATAGTACTATTAAATGTAGAGATCTCAGTGCCCTAATGCATGAGTTATCAAATGATGGTGCCCGTAGACAGTTCGAATTTTACCTGAAAGAAATGACTCTGCCTCTCATGGTAGCTAGTGCCCAGAGTGGGGACCATGAATGCCACATAGTGGTGCTTACAAGTGATGATGTGGTTGATTGGGATGAAGAGTATCCACCACAGATGGGAGAATAATATTCACAAATTATTATTTTTTCTTTTTTTTCTTTTTTTTTTTGTGGTACGCGGGCCTCTCACCGCCGCGGCCTCTCCCGCTGCGGAGCGAAAGCTCCGGACGCGCAGGCCCAGCGGCCATGGCCCGCGGGCCCAGCCGCTCCGCGGCATGCGGGATCCTCCCGGACCGGGGCACGAACCCGCGTCCCCTGCACCGGCAGGCGGACTCCCAACCACTGCGCCACCAGGGAAGCCCCTCACAAATTATTTATAGCACAAAATTATATAGATTTTTCAAGTACATTGAAAACAGAGTTGTGGCCAAATCAGTTTTGATGGAGAGGGGTCTTAAGAAGATTAGATTGGGAATAAAAGGTTGTCCAACCTACAAAGAAAAAAGTAAAAGAAAAGGCCTGGGGGCTGCCCAGAAGTGATTTACAACTATGTCCAAAGACCCTTTATTCGAATGTCTTGGGAGAAGGAAGAAGGAAAGAGCTGGTGTGTAGACTTTCAGTGTGTAAAAAGTAAATCTATCACCAACCTTGCAGCAGCTGCAGCTGACATTCCCCAGGACCAGCTGGTAGTCATGCACCCAACTCCTCAAGTGGATGAGCTCGATATTTTCCCTATCCATCCCCCTTCTAGCAACAATGACCTCGATCCTGACGCACAGAATCTGATGCTGTGATGGTGATGTTCCTTGAAACCATAGCGTGCTACTCTTCACGATGACGCTGCACTCTCCTCATCCTGCACTGCAAGGCCACTCTCTTCATTGTGAGATGCACAGAACAGTGTTTAGGATATTGCAGTGTAAACTTTTTTAAAGACCATGGTTTTTAAAATGGTTGGATGGCTGAATGGTTTTTTTGTTTGTTTGGTTGGTTGGTTGGTTTTTTTGCGGTACGCGGGCCCCTCACTGTTGTGGCCTCTCCCGTCGCGGAGCGCAGGCTCCGGACGTGCAGGCTCAGCGGCCATGGCTCACGGGCCCAGCCACTCCACAGCATGTGGGATCTTCCCGGACCGGGGCACGAACCCGCGTCCCCTGCATCGGCAGGCGGACTCAACCACTGCGCCACCAGGGAAGCCCTGAATGTTTTTTTAAATGACTACAATTCTAGCATCTTGAGGTTCCAGTTATATAAATGTATTGATTTACCAGTAGGTTTGTGAAATTGGTTCTTTGTATGGGGGAACAGTCCTTTTTCACACATCTAGATCTTTTCAGAAGTGGTGGAAATTGGCAGCTGGGGTACTTTCAGTCTAGATTGATATTCATCACACCCCAGATAAAATGTAGAATATTATGTAGTTGCACTTTATATATGGTGGTTGAGTGGAACTGTTCAAGCCATTTTAATAATTGTGATGCACAATATAATCTAAATAAGTGCTTCTATCAAAGTATTCTTTCAGTAAAATGTGTATAGTTTGCTGTCCATGATGAGCAAAAAATGATATCATTGGGCTTATTTGAATGATTAGGATGAGATTCAATGGCCATATCTTATCAGTTATCTCCAGTGCCGTTTTCATCCTTTTCAAGCGAGTCACATGCGGAGAGTGTGAACTTCAGGTGGTTTATTATCCAGTCTGCCTTACCCTTAATCTGTTCACAGATATTTATTCACTAATGATTTTTTTCGAGTTATGGGATAGGAAAATGAAGTGTTTGCTCTTCATTTACTAAATGATTGTAAACTCATTTTTCATCAGAATAAAATTCCATTGTTTTAATGTTAAGAAAAAGAGGTTTTATAGTATTTATAATGTGTTTTATTTGCATTTATTGAACAGACCCCACTACTGACCTCAGTGCTGTGTTTACAGGTGTTCCTTCAAGAACAACAGTTATGTGTGTGTTGCTTTTAATCATGAATCTATTTACACCTCAACTTACTTCACCTTGTTTCCATTGTCTCATAGGTATAAAAACCAGGTGCCAATAGACGTCCATGCAAACCCTGGAAAGTATATTATCGAAAGCCGATATGGAATGCACACTCTGGAGATAAACGCGTAAGAGACATCAGGGTCTGTGTTTGTTGCCCAGCAGTTGCTTAGGGTGGCAATTTGCGCTCCAGTTAACGACTGTTCCCTTTTCCTCCCAATGCAGCGCGATCAGGATGGGGGACAGTCCCATACGTTGCTTCTTGGTGCACACCGAAGAGCGATAAGCATGACACTCTTACCAAGCCCACGTTACCTCCCAAAGTGATCTTACTTGAATTTAGTCAAAGACGATGAGGAAAAATTCATTTGTATCTATTTATCCTTTTATATACTGGAGAGTTTTTCTTAGACATTAGTAAGAAAATAAGTTACATAAATAGGCATTTATATTCAGTTATACTTTCAGAGTTCCAAATCTATGCCATCACTATACACTTTTGCCTTTAATCAGTAAAGGCCAATGAAGTTTGGGGTGGGTGACATTGAAAGTAAGCTGTACTTAGAGAAATTGTTCTTTCCTTCAGCTCACCAGGAACTGTGGGAAACTATGTGCCCTCCCTGTCAGCCTGTAGGTGGACGCAGAGCCTGACATTGGGAAGTTTATAAAGCAAAATCAAAAGCAAAATTTGAAAGCAGAATCCACATCAAAATTTCCAAGTTTTCAAAGGTTTATCGTGTCTCCTAATGTGGTTTTGAAATCCAAGCCTAGTTATGTGGATGGAAAAGTTAAACAAGCTGCCAGCATTTTCGGTTCAAATAAAACCATGACATGCTGAGATGTCAAAGTAAAAATAAATTACGTCATTCTGATCTCAAGAGATTCATAGCCTTCTCAGGTCAGAGCAGTTGACACAGGTGATGCTGGGCTTCAAGCAGAAAGAACCCTGGGACTCTGGGGCTTTTGCCAAGCATTGACCCCTTCCTAAAGTTACATCCATTCTGCCAGTCGGGGATTCTACCGAGGCGGCAGTGAGCTATGTGGTTGCTTTATAATTAAATAGCTATGGGGAAGGCAACTGTATCGACCCTCCTGGGGTTCTATTGATGTCTGTAGATTTCAACAAGAATTAAGATATTGCAAATGAAACTAAACCCAGAGGAACAATGAAGAGCACGAACACTGGCAGTGAGAAGACACAGAACAGCCTTCTTTGAAATCTTAGCCTGTTCATCTCTGTGTGAGGTCCTTCTCTCTCTACTCCATTAACAGCATCCCAATCTCTGCATTATAACTTAGAGGAACTTCCAAATGGCACTTCTTGCGTTGTTCTGTGGGCCTGAACCTTAGCAGGATTGAAAGTTAAATAACTTATTTGTACTTTGAGGCTAGAGCACATTAGACTAACTGGGATCCGTTTTGTGGCTCAGGGAGTCTGTGGGCGTCTATAAGGAGAGGCTATTTCTTTGTCTTTTCATCACCCTGTAGCCCCCCAGACTGAAACCCACCTTGAGGGAGGCCCCAAGGTGTTCAGGGTCTTACCTGCTCCAAAGGTACATGGCTGGACGTTTTCTGCTCCTGATACAACCTTAGAACAATTTTTCATCACACTGTTCACACTGTAATTTATATGCTTGACACTTTGTTGACTTTTTTTTGGGGGGGGGACATTTTAAGTGAACCCAGGCTAGGGTCACGGTGGACTATAGCTGTTGGTAGATAGATCTGTTGGCCTATATAACACACCACAGGGTGCTGGGTCAGAGAGAGTAGCTTTATCAGGAGTGCCAAAGAGCTATGTGTCAGTCAGTGATTTGCCCTGTGGCTTGTTAGCAAAGAGATCCTTGATGAAACAGCTAGCAATTACATCGGCCTTCCGTATCTGAGGAGGCGGAACCCGCAGATACTGAGGGCCGACTATTTCACACCATTTTACTTAAGGGACTTGGGCATCCACGGATTTTAATATCCATGGGGGTCCTGGAACCAATCCCTCGCGGATGCTGAGTGGCGACTGTACCAGGAGTGTCACTGCACTGGGCACTCATTTCCATCCGTTCTTTCAGGTGTGATTTTGAAGACACCGCTCAGTACCGGGCCTCGGCGATGAATGTTAAAGGAGAGCTTTCAGCATATGCTTCGGTTGTGGTAAAGAGTAGGTTTGCTGAACTTGTTTTATTCAAAGTGTATTTAAAAAAAATTTATTCTCACTGCTAAAAAATAAAGTCAAGGAACAGTTGGCATGCTTTTCTGCTTTCTCTTCTAGGATATAAGGGAGAGTTTGATGAGACTCGCTTCCATGCGGGGGCCTCCACCTTGCCCCTCAGCTGTAAGTTTACAAGTATATTTGCTGTGTCATCTCTGTACAATACTGCATAATAAGCTGTTCCATAATGCTGAAATAAATACATAGTCTATATTATAATATATGCTAGTATGTGTGTAATACTACCTGTGATTGGTTTTATTTTTTCAGATTCTTTGGTTACTATATTCTCTTTCTGCATATAATTGCTTTGTTCTGGTTTTATAAATGCCCAGATGTGACAGGCTAAAAATGGTTTTAAGTCTTAAAAGCATTTAAAATGCTTTTAAGTCTTTCTGTGTTTAAATTGAGAAAGATCATTACACAAATCTGTGCAGAGTGATTTAACCACACACACACACAGACACACAGACACACACA